TTTTAGATGAATGTTACTGCAATCCTTAATCGTGTCACCTCAGGAAGATGGTCAATGTGGTTTCGGTCCATAAATTGGTTTTTGTGACGTTGGTTCACGTAGTGTTCCTAATGGCTCCATCGTTTCAACTTCACCATCTGCTGTCCTTATTGGGCATATTTCAGACAAGGTTTATCAAATTCGGGAAAAACCTAACCAGGTGCTTGGAACGAATTCCCTCTACTTGATCCTCCCTTACTCAAAACTTCTTTGTGTCTGTTTCAATTCAGATGTGTTTCAGTCACCGGTTCTAGCAAAGAAATAACTGTGGAAATGGAAACTGAGTGTCCACCGGGACAGTACCAATGTGATGGTGGTCGCTGTATTTCACCAACCTCGATATGCGACGGTCGACCTGATTGTCCCGATGGATCGGACGAGAATCCCGTCTATTGTGGTGAGTACAATAAAGAATATTTTGTTTTACCAGAAAATAAAGTCAAACTTTCAATATGTGCTTCGAAGGGGATGAAAAAGGATAGAATTCACAAAATAACCTGATCACAATGGCTTGTTCAGATTACGTCGATCAGCAAGAGAATCTGATAATCCCACGGATCTGAAGTCCGGACCTGAATGTTCTCGGTTCGAGCCCTGACAGGGACACGAAAAATGACGCACTGCTGAAGAGTCCTAAAACTGGACGATACAGCTGTCCAGTGCTCTTTGTCTTTTATCACAAACATTTCCATCGCATCTGAATGGAACTATCTCGTGGAGAAACCATGATCTCCCAAGGAATGTAACCCACACCCAAGAACATCGAGTGCTTGATGCCTCAAGACAATCGAATAGGTTAATCCAAGGGTGATATTCGAAATCCTATAAGCCTATTTTTAGTTTTGCATGGCTACTCATAAGTAACTTAGTTCTGTTAGTAACAGATTTATATTAGTCAGGAACAGTTAAATGACCACCACACGTTTTGTTGAACAAGTCACAGATTTCCTGCAACGCACACGGAAATATCACCCTATAATTTTTTAGATAATCGGAACCGAACACAGCCACAGCTACAAACCGTCCTAAGATTTTCTGCTTACCGGAAAATAACAAGAATAGGATAACAAAACCACTGAGTTATCGACTGATATGCCGCTTTAGCGACTGAGCCTACCCTGTGGGAACAGTACAAAGATGAATGCGCTCGCCTCTAACTAATGTTTGACAAAAATCGGACGAGATAAGACGAAAACATGCGTCGTAAATTTTATTGCTGTGCGGTTATGAAATTTAAGTTTCAGGCGATATCATTTGTTTCGCTGGTTGTCTGTGATAAAGAAAATATTAATTTGGCCAATTGTTTTTTAGAAAATTTATGGAATTGCAGAAAGATTAAATCCGTCAAGTATTGATATTTTGGTAATCAGAGCTTTCAGTGTACCATCGTAACTTCATTAATTACGTTATTTTTGTCCATTCACCATATTTACATTCATTTTTTTATTGAACCCGTCAGATTTCCATATTTGAGATATGGTTACATTTTTTTCAACTGTCGACAATATCGAACTTAAGATTTTGATACAGATGTTAATCAAATAAACTGAGGGACTTTTTTAAAGTATTCCTTCATCGGCATCATATAATAGTTTGAGTCAATTTTGATTATTTTCATATTTGACCGGTGATGGTGATAGTCCCTAAATTTAATTGTGAATTCGAGGCCAATGAGAGACTTTCTCCTACTCTCTCCTACATGGAACCAGCATAGAAATTAGGCTTTACGACCCATTACCCGCGGATACGTTGATCATGCAGACAGTTTTCTTTTAACTGAGAGAATGGAATCGCTTTTGGCTCGGTACAAAGTAACGAGCTGATGCTTCTTAATGGTGACTTTCCTAATGAGGCAACCCTCGGAAAATGTTGGACAACCACATCAGGACAAAAATAGGTGTTCAAGTTACAATTGTCAGTTATGATTGAACAACAGTGATTGAATATATGAAGAATTCTTCCCGTAAATGAGGTGTGGGCTGAAAAGCTATGCAGCACTGCACAGCTGTCTTGACCTGGTTGCGTCTCCTCGACAGTTCGCGAATCCCTCGATCAAACTGAGGATCGATCGTTTGACCCCACAGGTAGAACTGAAGTTTACTACGCACTCAGTCACTGAGTAGACCCCCTCTATCCATAAATATACACCATATAGCACAATCCATCTTTGCTAGCTTCTTACGGGTGTTGCACCTCTCTCCCCTCAGCACTAGCCTCCAGGGTTAGGACTCCGTTGGAAACTTTCACAAACAGACTAAATGTTAAATGAAAGTAATGAACGATTTGATCTGATTATCTTATGAATTCGTCGTGTAAATGTCACATTGCGTATTCCCAGAATGGGAACCGGTCTGATCACCTTCCCAGTGACCGTGTGGGCAGTATGCTTCTGTTATACATGTGGTTCGATGGTTCCGCGCACTGTTGATGAAACGTAACCAGATCCAAACAGCTGTTCAGTGCTTTCACGCTTGTCAGCTCACACATCATTTACACGATGATCATTTAATCAGACCAAGTATTCTATTTCTCTCACAGGAAAGCGATTAAGTTTATGGGTAAAATCTTGGCTGAGAACTGGAGAGAGAACATTGGAGCATAATGTATGATGCTTCAGATAAATTAGTTCTAATCAGAGATGAGACCCGATGATGCTAAGCAGCTCTTTTTGATGAAATTGTCAATTTCACAATGAGCCTTTGTCAAGGAGACTTTTGATAAATGAAATTGTGACGAAAACGGGTGTGAACTGAGCGACAGAGGCAAATTTGAACATGTGACCTGCGGATCCGTGTGAGCCTGATCAACACCATTCGTTATATCACGTCTTTTCTTCAAGTAGGGTAGCAGTGATAACCGAGGTTTGTAGGATTTCAACTGACAACAGACACGTGATATCTTGACACACTTGCAAGTCGAACGATAACGACAAAACGAGTTCTGTCAGTCAGAACTGTTCCATCCCTAATGGAAAAACCGAATGATTACAACATATACGAATAATAATAAAATGAATGGTACATGGAATGAACTCACAGGAAGAGTGTCGGGTGGATTGAGAGATTCTGTTCCTCGGAAGCGTGATTCCCGTTGATGATGATGCACAGTGGAGCTGGGGGGGATAGCTGTGACATTTAATGGACCACTTGAAGATAACTGATGATGCATGCGTAATGCTTCGGCAACACTCGGAGAAGACGTGCGCAGTCACGAACGGAGTACTGTATTGTGGTGTAACATTTTTGCGTAATTAAACAAGCTGTACAAAAAGTCGTATAAAAGTAGATAGAAAGGTAAGACACTACAACCCCTCGTTACGAATGTTTTAGAAATAACAATTATAGAGTCTACTTAATGATAAAACCACCCAATTGGTCTTCAGTCATTTCTTCCGATTGAGTCGTTTTACTATTTTTAATTCTCTCTCTGATGTGCAGCACTGGATCTACTTATCATTCCCGGTTACATCTACATTCAACCACGTGAGGTGTTTGAGTTCGTTTGTGAATCTCGTGCCGGTGGAAGTCCACCTCACGTTCGATTTGTCGACGGGCGTCCAGTGGAATCCGATTCCCGATTTACCGTATCCCGACCCACCTCGCATCGTGTTGTAGTTCGAGCGGAAGACGGGATCGATGAGACAGATCACGATACCAGAATGATGTAAGCAAGCACAAAGACTCGGTTTGTATCTGGTAGAGTGTGGATTTTGGTGTGCTTGGAGTGACCATGTATACCTTACGTCAGGGTCACAAGTGTTTTTTTTCAATTCAGTTCAGTTCGCTCGGTTTACCTTCTGGTGTTTTGTTCTTCTCTTTGCAGGTTTTTCGGACCCTTCTCTGAATTGTTTAAATTCCTAATATCTGTCATGTAATTGTTCTCTCCGGATCACCCTCAGATAGATCAGATCCCACCTGCTATGCCGATATGCAATTGGGAAAAGATAGACCAGTGCCCTGTAGACGACTTTCTTAGTTAGTCCTATGTAGTCCAATAACCAATCTAGTGACAGTACTTTGTACACGCTCCAACTTAGCCAGAACACTGGTCGTGCGGGAGTATGTAGCAGAACTACTGTAATCAAGTCTCGGTCTGATGTGGGAAGCGTACTGCAGTCTTAAAGCGTCCATCTTCAGTCAACCAAAACATCTCCAAATGGGTTCCAGAATGCTTTATCCGTTAGCGCAGATCCAATTATTGTTCTCCCAGGTCTTCAGTGATTACGTAAGCCACTTCGAAATTAGCGCGTCCCAGATGCGAGTAAGCCCACGTAGCAGTAATGACCGGCAGGACATATATATCCGCCCCACTGAGCCACGGGGTTCAGGTCTTCTTGTAGAGCTCTTCCATCCTCTGGATCCTCAAGTTGAAGCCAGACCTTTGTCAGCCGCATGCATGATTGATGGACTGCAAAACAGAGGCTGTCTGGTTTTAAAGAAGATTAGACATAAATAAGAGCCAATCCCGTTCCCAAACCATCACATTAATATCTGTCTAACAAAGCATGCGTACTTGGAACAGGTTAATTCAACGTGTCGATGTCTTCGACAATAAGTTAGTCATGTGCGTCCGTGTGTGGGTTCGGATCCCAACGAGGCTATTGGCAGTTGCACTCAACACGGGTTGTTGTCTCTCTCGATAAGTTGATTTAGTCATAGACCTCATGCGTCCGATCCCGTTGTTTTGAGTAAAACCTACTGAAGACAGTCAGATTAGATGCCAACTGATGTATTCATACAGCTCGACATGCTAGACAGGTGATCAAACGTGAAAAGATCATGAACTTCGTTGTGTGTGGTTTCGTAGCTCAGTGTGCGTTGAATCTGTTGTAATTGCACAGAATCGTCGCCATATTGGATTCTCAAATGATCACCTTCTGATGAATTTCTCATCCAGACACCGATTCCACAGATAGTGAAATAGAACACAGCTGGAAGCGTATAGGAATTAATTTATCTTACGAACTTCAGAGTTATTTATAGGGAGGTGGGGTGACATAGAAACGCATGTATCGACAACACCTACCTAGAGGCTTGATTGGTAAGAGCCACAAATCGTCCTGTGAGAAATGAACTAAACTGAACTTAAGCGATTGGTTGAACAGATAGTTGCCGACTTTCTCGATTGGTACACGGTTCAGACCAATCACTTGAGTTGTTTTGATTAGTTGTCCTAAAACAAAGCAGTTTTCATGAAGCAGGCTGTATCCCTGGCAGAATCATTAGTCAGCCAGTCAGCAAAAACATATGTTTTTGTACGTATTACGTGTAGATTTCTGTCTGTGTTGAACCTCTGATGATTAGCCAAGTCTGTCATACTGCAGCTTGTTTGGTTTGGAGCGTGCAGCAGAATTTTCTCTCGTGAAACCAATAAACGATGTTACCGAACCTGGACTGACTCTGAGCATGAGCTGTCACCATCGAAGAACAGGAACGTCTCCATAAGGGACCTCTGAGTAAATAAATGAACCCAAAGTTCGAGTGAGACATGAACATGACCCACACTTGATTGGAACTGATGTGGCACCCAGTGTGCAAAACACTTGTGAAATACAGTAGAGATACCTTTGCATCTTTGTGATTTCGTGAGGAGGAACCAATTCTTTTGAGGCAGTTCATCTTTGTTTACAAGTGCACGAAGGCCGATGTTGGATGTCAAGGAATCCAATCATTACCTTTTTCCTACCATTCAAGGATTTAACGCAGTATGTGTTTGGTCTTCTATTTGACCGAATGTCATAAGTGTTCCTTAATGGGAGTGACGATGAGCAGACTGCGTGGGTTTGACTAAGGATTGTTGGCTGCAGATCCCTGAGTTCCTGCACTTCAGTGATCAGACTGTGATATTCATTGTCGTGCCATGTTGTGTCTACTATGAAAGCTGAACGCGAAGGACGTGTATAATTTTGTTGTGGCGGTAGTGGGCCGGTGGAAGCGATCACCAAATTTGAAAAGAAAAGAACATATTGCAATACTGCACGATTTATGTCCAAGACGATTTCGCTGCATCTCAACATGGTGCATACTGCAGAAAATATAATATTTATATAGGGTTTTAGCATAGCAACAGAGTGAGGCAAAATACATTAAAAACAGACAAAACATAAAAGAGGGAGGGGTAAAAGGACCATATCACCAGGGTAGGGAGAGACTAACATACAGTTCTTTTTGCTGGCACAGGAGGGGCTTCCATCGATTAATCGCAATTGCTTCAGCAAACTTTAGCAATCTTGCGACTTGTGACTTGTAGACAATTTGAAACGCTGTGCTTCGGTCGACGTGGTGTTGCGTCATCAGCAGATGTCGAGCAATGACTGAGGACGGAGTTTTGTAGTTTCGACCGTCGTTTCTATGCGGCGGACTTGACCTCAATTGGGTCAGCTGATTTTGGACCCAATTTGGAATATGTTCCACCACCCGATTGCGTAATTGTCGCTCTGTTCGGCCCACATAGGTCGCTCCGCAACCACATTGGAATTGGTAGATTAGATTAGAGTTGGCGTACAGAGGCAGACGTTCTTTTGCCGGGGGTGTGGGTATCCTGGTCGTCCGGTAGACGATTTTGGGGTCAGCTGCGTAGTAGGTTCGAGCGATTGCTAACCTCAACCGTTTGTAGAGCAGGCGGCTTACGTCATCGC